AGAGAGAGAGAGAGAGAGAGAGAGAGAGAGAGAGAGAGAGAGACAGAAGGAGGGGAGAATGAAAGAGAGTGAGAGCACACGGAACAGCTACATTGAGCGGCTACATTCGTTTCTCTTATTTACAGAATGGAGAGTCGCCGCAGTACGTGACGGACAGACTTCGGCAATTCTCGGATCCTTTGGCAAGGTTTCAACCAATTAACGGTGAGTGGTATTACTCGCGTTCCACCCTGCGTGCGGTTGCTTACAAATTTAGGCTCTCGGGGTAAAGTACTTAACGCCGAGACCCGCCCGCTTGCTCCGCGAGGAATCTTCCAGGGACCGTAACCAGAGTCGGGTTACATAATGAAGACGGTACCAAGAGAGGCGGGCCATCGCCACGTTAATCGCTTCGACGATGTCGCCCCACCAATAAATAATAATATCCGTATCCACGCAAATATGTAAACTTGGATTTGACGATTTCAGTTGAGATATTGGTTGGTATCGGCGAAAAAAATTACCGTAAATGGAAGTTGCACTGGTCGGTCCGGGCCGGAACAGACGAGACACTATACAATTTTAAAGGATTCTGAAATTAACATTGAAAGGAGGACGTTAAAAATAGGTCATTTACGGCTCACTGATATTAACTAATCATTGGAAACTGTTTCTGGAATTTTCTAAAAACAGAAAATAACTGAGTTTAATTTTGAGGACCTATCTATATCAGGAATACAAAACTTAAAAAACTTCACATGACTATCTCAGCAATCAATAATAAGTCCCGATTTTCATGACTTTTCCCAGACTTGGTGAACAAATAATTGTTATTTTCTATTTCTAGAATGTTCTAGAAACAAAAAATAACTAGATTTATTTTTTAGAAACTATTAAGAGTACGAAACTTAAAAAAAATCACTTTACATGACTATCTCACCAATCAATCCCGATTTTCATAATTTTCCCCGGAACTGATGGACAAATAATTATTTTCTGTTTCTAGAAGATCCCAGAAACAGTTTCCAACGATTAGTTAAGATTCCGTAAGTAGACAAAAAGTGGCCCATTTCTCAACCTTCTCTGGAAATTAAATTTGACTTTATCGAAATTGTTTATCTTGTTAATTAAGAGTCGCGGAGGAATATTAATCTTTATACGCCGGGTCAATCCCGTTTCATAACAACTGAAATGAAAGCCGAAGTCAACGTCGGAATTGCTCGCAATTGTTGATTACTTAAAAACAACGAAAAACATAACAAAAACTGCGGTATGAGGGAATCCAATTTCCGGCGCGCCGAGCAACCGTCTAACTCGCGTGGGGCTTGAATTAAATTACGACTTCAAAATATGCGCATTTGGCGCGATTACCCGAGTTCCATCCTCGCGGAGTGCACGTGGCGCGGAAAAGTCGTTAGAAGAAATAGCGTCTGGTACCCTTCTGCCGACGCGTATTCCCTCCTGTTCTCTCTCTCTTTCTCTTTCTCTCTCTCTCTCTCTTTCTCTCTCTTTCTCTTTCTCTCTCCTTCCCTTCCTCTCTTACAGAAGAAACGCCGAGTGTGATTAGCGCACCGTGTGCAGCCCCGCGAATTCTCGCTGCTCATGACTCGCCCTGCCGTGCAAAAAATCATCGCCATCTGCATCGCATAAGGCCCCAGTCACGGTCGTTACATGGCCGCGAGATTCAAGGGACCATAACATTAAATTCGCTGTCGTTGTCTCACGCCCAGTAAAAATAGAAGATACTCACGATAGCTGTTTGTTTGTGTGTGTATAGGTTTTTTATATACGCGCGTATATAACGTATACGCGGGACCACCGGATGTGTTTTTAACGACATACTCTGTTGTCGACAACAAACGAAGTTGTCATTTTTTACGAGCAACAGCCTGATGATGGGAAACCAATAGTTACCGCTTCTTCGTCCTTCCTTCAATTTGACGATTAAATTGCAAATCCCCGCCAAAGTATCAAATTGAATTAAAATCAATGAAAAAATGGCAGCTCTTTTACAAAGTTTGAGTCGTTGAAAGCTCGCCTGAAGTCCTCTATTTTAGCTGTTTCTCGTACTCTTTCGCGAGACAATGAGAACACTTCGTTACTATCAATTGGAGAGCTGTCGTCTATTGTCAGCGCGTTGCAAACACACCCCCGGCCCACTCGGCGTAAAATCTTCCAACCAGTCGCGAAAGCGACAACAGCTCTCGTCTAGTCACAAGAGTATCTCCTTGATACTCTTATACACGGCACCGACGAACCCTGTATCGCGCACAGAGAGTATCGAAAGATGTTGCTTCGGGGCGGTTATAAGGTCAGGATACAAAAATAATATCCCACACCGTTCGTGTGAGTCGCGATTGGTCGCACGGACTTATCCGAAATAGTTTAAAGCGGCCAAAGAGAGGCGATAAGATCGTGGAGAGGAGGGTTCGGCTCGAAACTTCCGTCGAGGCTTTTCCTTTCCTTTCCGGACTGCACGATCATCGGCTCGACTCCTCGACGATGGAGAGGGGGTCGAGGAGTTTTTCCAAAGAGGAAAAAAAGGACGACGAGTGTCAGGATGTTAGTGAGAGTATTATAACGGTAGGATAAGCTCGCGCGCGCATGGGTGTGTGTGTGTGCTTGTTCCTCGTGTATCCTCAACACTCGCCGAGAGTGCTCGGGTATACTTCGCGTACAAAGTAAGCCGACACGGATGATCTAAAATGGTGGGTCACTCGCGCGCTACAGGTATTTTTAAAGTAGATTAATGTCGGACACGAGACGGAGCATTAAGCAGATCGGTATTAATGAGTTTTGTCACCCTTGAGTGACACCCGGGGACTCCATTCGGTTACACTCGCCGCTATAGATAGCCCACCCGTGTGCGCGCCTTCGCGCTCTGCAACATTTCCCCCCGGGGGAGCGGTCGCTCGCGCGTAAAGACGATATATATCGCACCTACGGAAATCTTCGTACGTACGTGGAAACTGACGGGATCGCGCGACACTCGCACGCACTAATAAAACCGCGAAGGCGACGGCGAGCGAGTTTTGGCGCGTAGAATCCGGATAATCGGACCGAGTGTCATATCCCGGCGACACCAGATACGCGGATGAGTGTTAAATAAAACAGGCTGAAACATGACGAAACACAGGACACCGCGCTTGCTGGAGAGTGATTCGTGAATTCGTTCCTTCTTCTTTTGTTTTCTTTTTTTTAGCAAGCCCAAAAGCATCGCTCCCGCGACGGGTCAAAGAGAGACTCAGTCGCGCCGTGAAAAATGGAGAATATTATTTCGCCGGAATCACCCCCAATCTCGAGTCGACGAAAACGCTGCGCGCTTGGCTAAGCGCGCGATCGATGGAAACAGATCGCAAATTTGTCGGGCAAAATTGCTCTGTCAATTCATTAGAGCGAGATTAGAATCGGGTTGCGCCAGCGCGTTTAGCGAACAAAGACCGCGGGAAAATTTAACGCGCTCTCGCGCGAAAGTGTGATTCGGCCCAATTCCAATTTTGATATTCATGAGATTCACGCTCGCGCTCGCCGATTCCGACTCTCGATACCGAACACAACGGCGGGAGAATCTTGCCCCTCTCGGTCTGAACAACCCTCTGGGCGTGATGCGAGCCTGAGCTCGCGGTCATTCATTGCACTTCTCGATTATTCCCCGTAAGCTATAAACTTCGTATGTGTGCTGCGCGCTTTCAAAAAACTTTATATGCCGCACCGTAAACGCCCGCGCGTTTTAAACTCTATTAAAACTTTGCACAACGCGTCCCGAAAGCGAAAGGGTTAAAAATGCTTTGTCGCATCTGGTGCTCGCCCGCCCTTTCCGTGTCACTAGTAAAACGTATGCCGCGAGTGTGCCTCTGATACTACGCGGGCAATAGCCCGCATCCAGTCGGCTGTATAGGGAAACCTCGGAGGCACTTTATGAAAGGGGGGAGAAAAAGGGAAAAATGGAAGCGGGAATTTGCCGGTTACGACCTCGTTCACACCTAATGCGAACAAACGGAAAAAAAAGAAAGAGAAAGAAAGATATTAATTTGCCTTTATAGGGAAATGATTATAAAGAGCTTTCGGGTAACTGGAACGTAGAGGCATTCAAAGGCCCGACAGAGCACTCGAATAATGGATTCGGCTATATTGCACGGATGTTTGATATCCGATACGCGCGGAGACAATAGAGGCAATAAATCCAGTATATGCCGTTATATCTGGCTGTTTGGTTTGGCTTTTTCAAATAAACGCAAACACGTACTTACTCTGCCATGTGTGTACATGTGTGCGCGCGCGTGTGTGTCGAATATCGAATATCGAATATTTACCCTCTTAGCTTGCTGGTGTGCGTGTTTCCAACGGACCCCTCCACCCCTTTTATTCTTTTCTCCTTCACCAGTCCCCAAAATACCATTTTTTACGATCGCGTTGAAATACGCGGGTTAGCAGTTTTGGTGTAATTTCGCCGAAACTCTTTCTCCGAGAGAGTGAGTGATTATTCGTTTGTAACGTGAAAATACGATGGATAAATTGATACTGACCCGACTGGATCTCATTCGCGGCGTTCTCGCGAAATGCAAACTGGTGCGGGGTCGCCCGTGAACTCGCATCGCCGTCATCGATCGATCAAAGGATCTAACGACACGACGAATTCCCGCCGATTGCGTACTTACACCCGCGATATTTATCCGTCATTCGCTGCGATTTATTCCCGACGTTTATCGATCACGCGGCCTGCAATATGGGGCTCGGATTAATCCTCCTGTCAATAGCTCGCGGTCGCGCTCGGGCTCTTCAACGATCGATCGTCGGACGGATTACGTCTACGATGCATGCAGGTACTATGCGCTATTCGTTTTACTCGCTCCTCCCGAGGATGTTTCGAAGACGACGCGAGGAGAGAGGAGAGGAGAGAGGAGAGGCGGAGAGCGCTGCAACGAATCGCATATCGCATCGCAATGCACGGATAAAAAGAGTTAGCTGCGGCAGCAAGAAGTTGCGTGTGTGTGCGCGCGTGATAGCTAAGTTTCGTTGTAACATATGGACAGCTAAAAGTATAGCTGCTAGTAGGCATATATTTAGCTATGAAACTGATGCAGTAGCAACAGTAGCAAAACACTCCAAGTGTGTTATTTTTAAACGCATAAGCGTGTAATATTACTGAAGCTTCTTTCACACATTTCTTTCACATGTTTCTTTCACACGTTTTAAATCACGTCATTTAATACGTTCATACAAGA